TATTTGTAGGAGTGTCTCATTGTTTGCGGTTATGTTTGTAGGAGTGTTTCATTGTTTGCGGTTATATTTGTAGGAGTGTTTCATTGTTTGCGGTTTATATATGTAGGAGTGTCTCATTGTTTGTGGCTATCTATGTAGGAGTGTCTCAATGTTTGCAGTTATATTTGTAGGAGTGTTGCATTGTTTGCGGTTATATTTGTAGAAGTGTTGCATTGTTTGTGGTTATGTTTGTAGGAGTGTTTCATTGTTTGCGGTTATATTTGTAGGAGTGTTTCATTGTTTGCGGTTATATTTGTAGAAGTGTTGCATTGTTTGCGGTTATATTTGTAGGAGTGTTGCATTGTTTGCGGTTATATTTGTAGAAGTGTTGCATTGTTTGCGGTTATATTTGTAGGAGTGTTTCATTGTTTGTGGTTATGTTTGTAGGAGTGTGCATTGTTTGCGGTTATATTTGTAGGAGTGTTTCATTGTTTGTGGTTATATTTGTAGAAGTGTTGCATTGTTTTCGGTTATATTTGTAGGAGTGTTACATTGTTTGCAATTATATTTGTAGGAGTGTTTCATTGTTTAGGTTATATTTGTAGAAGTGTTGCATTGTTTGTGGTTATATTTGTAGAAGTGTTGCATTGTTTGTGGTTATATTTGTAGGAGTGTTTCATTGTTTGTGGTTATGTTTGTAGAAGTGTTTCATTGTTTGTGGTTATATTTGTAGGAGTGTTTCATTGTTTGTGGTTATGTTTGTAACATTGGGAATGGTTCCAGGTGGGAACGTTGGGAATGCTTTCAGGTGTCAAGGATAATGCTTCCAGCAGCAGAATTTGGAGTCACTTTTGTGATCCCAATGATGCATGTAGCACAGAACAAAGTGAAGACGCAGGACTGTCTGGGGACTCCCAAAAAATGTCCCCAGCCACCCGCCACGTGCCTGCGCTGCCTCTGGTGTATTAATACACTAAAATGATGAGTGGGGGGGGGGGGGGGGACAGTGGGTACAGGGCTAAAAATAGATGTGTTGTGCTTATCTGGCTACTTTGGTGGCTCGCTCGGTGAATGGTGGTGTGGCGGCCATTGTAGTGCCGTGTCATTGTACCAACCAACAATGTTATCTGTCTGCGCACACAGGACGCGCACCCCGCCACCTGCGCCATTTCTGAAAGAAGAGCGTGTCCTCACGTGGAACCGTCACCTTCTGAACATTCATTCATACAAACTGTCTGTGCTCACACATTCCGTTGATATGACTGGACCTTCTATGCCGAGGGTCAGGCATTCGTCAATCATGGCCATGTGACAGACTGTGACCCCCTGCAGGACCTCAGACCTCAGAGGCAGCAAAAGGCATTGCAGAGAAGGGAGACCTGGGAGGACTTCACCTGCTCTGTCAGGTGCCGCTGCACCACTGTGCTCTGCTTAAAACACGTTTGACCCCTGCACTCTGTATTACACGCTTCTGACCTCTGCACTCTGTATTACACGCTACTGACTCCTGCACTCTGTACATTACACGCTACAGACCCCTGCACTCTGTACTACACACTACTGACCCCTGCACTCTGTACTACACACTACTGTCCTCTGCACTCTGTACTACACACGCTACTGACTCCTGCACTCTGTACACTACTGACCCCTGCACTCTGTATTACACACTACTGACCCTGCACTCTGTACTACACACTACAGACCCTGCACTCTGTATAATACACTACTGACCCTGCACTCTGTATTACACACTACTGACCCCTGCACTCTGTATTACACACTACAGACCCCTGCACTCTGTATTACACACTACAGACCCCTGCACTCTGTATAATACACTACAGACCCTGCACTCTGTATTACACACTACAGACCCCTGCACTCTGTATTACACACTACTGACCCTGCACTCTGTATTACACACTACAGACCCCTGCACTCTGTATTACACACTACAGACCCTGCACACTGTACTACACACTACTGTCCTCTGCACTCTGTACTACACACTACTGTCCTCTGCACTCTGTATTACACACTACTGACCCTTGCACTCTGTATACACACTACAGATACACTACAGACCCCTGCACTCTGTATTACACACTACAGACCCCTGCACTCTGTATTACACACTACTGACCCCTGCACTCTGTATTACACACTACTGACCCCTGCCCTGCACTCTGTATAATACACTACTGACTCCTGCACTCTGTATTACACACTACTGACCCCTGCACTCTGTATTACACACACTACAGACCCCTGCACTCTGTATTACACACTACTGACCCCTGCACTCTGTCTGTATTACACACTACTGACCCCCTGCACTCTGTACTACACTAATGCACACTGTATTACACTACTGACTCCTGCACTCTGTATTACACACTACTGACCCCTGCACTCTGTACTACACACTACAGACCCTGCACACTGTACTACACACTACAGACCCCTGCACTCTGTACTACACACTACTGACCCCTGCACTCTGTATTACACACTACTGACCCCTGCACTCTGTACTACACACTACTAGACCCCTGCACTCTGCACTATTACACACTACAGACCCCTGCACTCTGTATTACACACTACTGACCCCTGCACTCTGTATAATACACTACTGACCCTGCACTCTGTATTACACACTACTACTGACCCCTGCACTCTGTATAATACACTACTGACCCCTGCACTCTGTATTACACACTACTGACCCCTGCACTCTGTATTACACTCTGTATTACACACTACAGACCCCCTGCACTCTGTATTACACACTACTGACCCCTGCACTCTGTATAATACACTACTGACCCTGCACTCTGTATAATACACTACTGACCCCTGCACTCTGTATTACACACTACATGACCCCTGCACTCTGTATATTACACTACTGACTACTGACTCTGCACTCTGTACTAATACACTACTGACTCTGCACACTGTACTACACACTACAGACCCCTGCACTCTGTATTACACTACTACTGACTGACAGTGTTACCCTGCACTCTGTATAATACACTACTGACCCCTGCACTCTGTATTACACACTACTGACCCCTGCACTCTGTATTACACACTACTGACTCCTGCACTCTGTATTACACACTACTGACCCCTGCACTCTGTACTACACACTACTGACTGCACCTGCTGCATTACTTACTACTGATCCTGCACTCTGTATAATACACTACTGACCCCTGCACTCTATTATTACTACTGCACTGTATTACAAACTCCTGAGTCTGACCCTGCACTATGGGTTACACACTTCTGCATTATATACTACTAACCCCTGCACTACTGCCTTTCTTACTCCTCTGCACTCTGCTCCTGCCCTCTATATTACACTACTGACCCCCTGTATACAGTGTTACTAATGACCCCTGCGCCTTATGTTACATACGACTGACCCCAGGAGTGTGCACTCTGCGCTACTCACTACTGACCTCCAAAATCTGTGCTGCAAACTACCAACCCCTGAACTCTGAATGTTACTTACTACTGACCTCTGCGCTGTGCTAACCCCTGTGCTCTGCGTTACTACAGACCCCTGCACTCTTCATTACATAACACTGACCCCTGCACTCTGTACTAGGTACTACTGTCCTCTGAACTCTGCATTACTTACTACTGATCCATGCACTCTGTGTCATGTACTACTGACCCCTGCACTCTACGTACTACTGTACTCTGTACTAGGTACTACTGTCCTCTGAACTCTGCATTACTTACTACTCTGATCCATGCACTCTCTGTGTGCACTCTGCGTACTACTGACCCCTGCACTCCGTGTCATGTACTACTGACCCTTGCACCTGCACTCTGTGCACTCTGTACTAGGTACTACTGTCTGAACTCTGCATTACTTAACTCTGCATGCATTACTTACTACTGATCCATGCACTCTGTGTCATGTACTACTGACCCCTGCACTCCGTGTCATGTACTACTGACCCCTGCACTCCGTGTCTGCACTGACCCCTGCACTCGCGTCACGTGCCACTGACCCCTGCACTCCGCGTCACGTGCCACTGACCCCTGCACTCCGCGTCACGTGCCACTGACCCATGCACTCCGCGTCACGTGCCACTGACCCCTGCACTCTATCTCACATACCACTGACCCCTGCACTGTGTCACGTACCACTGACCCCTGCACTCTGTGTCACGTACCACTGACCCCCGCACTCTGTGTCACGTACTACTGACCCCTGCACTCTGTGTCACGTACCACTGACCCCTGCACTCGTGTCGTACTATTGGCCCCAGCACTCTGTGTCATGTACCTACTACTGACCTATGCACTCCGTGTCACATACTACTGACCCCTGCACTCTGTGTCATGTACTACTGACCCCTGCACTCTGTGTACCTACTAATGACCTATGAACTCTGTGTCACGTACTACTGACCCCTGCACTCCGTGTCACGTACCACTGACCCCTGCACTCCGTGTCATGTACTACTGACCCCTGCACTCCGTGTCATGTACTACTGACCCCTGCACTCTGCAGTACCTAATAATGAGCTATGAACTCTGTTACATACCACTGACCCCTGCACCCCTCTGTTCATTACATTTTGCACTTGTGTCCTTGGCACTGTCCGCACCTCTGTGTCACGTCATCTCCTGACCCCTGCACTGGGTCGTCTATCGGGCAGGAGGGAGGACTCGGAGAGGGAGGACCCCTGCAGGATCTGATGTCAGGAGTAGGAGGAGGATGGATCACCGAGATCTGCACATCACAGAGCCACGAACATCGACCCCGACATGCACTCTGTGTCTCATCTCCCCTCCAGAGGATCGTGTCATGTAACTCCATCCCCTGCCCCGTGCATGTACCACCGACCCCTGAGATCGATCGAATCTCAGACACTGACCCCTGCACTCCGTGTCATGTACTACTGACCCCTGGACTCTGACGTGACCGAGATCTGCACCCAACCCCAACCCAACCCCCTCCGGGACCCACCCAGTGCCAGCAACACCACCCACATATACAGAATGAGGACAGATACCGAGAATGACACCCGGCATCCAGGACAGGAGAAGTGGGACTGTGCAGAGTCCATACATACAGAATGGGGACAGATACCGAGAATGACACCCGGCATCCAGGACAGGAGAAGTGGGACTGTGCAGAGTCCATACATACAGAATAAGGACAGATACCGAGAATGACACCGGCATCCAGGACAGGAGAAGTGGACTGTGCAGAGTCCATACATACAGAATAAGGACAGATACCGAGAATGACACCCGGCATCCAGGACAGGAGAAGTGGGACTGTGCAGAGTCCATACATACAGAATAGGGACAGATACCCCGAACAAACCGACCAGGATCTAATGTTTGACCTGGAGAATCAATCCAACCAAATCTGACCTAGTGGACACGACTAATATCGAGATCTGACAGATGTCAACCCCAATACGGATATGGCAGACTCTGACTAACGTCTGACCTGGAGGACCTCAATCAATATCTGACCTGGAGGACCCCAACGAGAATCTGACCTGGAGAATCTCAGGACTAATCTGTGATCTGTGAGAACCCTACATACATGTCTGACCAGCTGGACCCTGGTCAACCTGACTGGTGGACCCTGGACCCTGGCCAATGTCTGACCTGGAGGACCCAACCAATGTCTGACCTGGTGGACCCTGGTCAATGTCTGACCTGGTGGACAGATGGCCAATGTCTGACCTGGTGGACCCTGGTCAATGTCTGATCTGGTGGACCCTGGTCAATGCCTGATCTGGTGGACCTGGCCAAACATGATCTGACCTGGCGAACCCTGGCCAATCTGTGATCTGGTGGACCCTGGCCAATGCCTGATCTGGTGGACCCTGGCCAATGTCTGACCTGGTGGACCCTGGCCAATGCCTGATCTGGTGGACCCTGGCTGATATTTGACCCTGGTGGACCCTGACCAATGTCTGATCTGGTGGATCCTGGTTGATATTTGACCTGGAGAGACCCTCAACAATATCTGACCTGGTGGACCCTGGCCAATGTCTGATCTGGTGGACCGTGGCCAATGCCTGACCTGGTGGACCCTGGCCAATGCCTGATCTGGTGGACCCTGGTCAATGTCTGATATGGTGGACCCTGGCCAATGTCTGATCTGGTTGACCCTGGCCAATGTCTGATCTGGTGGACCCTGGTCAATGTCTGATCTGGTGGACCCTGGTCAATGTCTGATCTGGTGGACCCTGGCCAATGCCTGATCTGGTGGACCCTGGCCAATGCCTGATCTGGTGGACCCTGGCCAATGCCTGATCTGGTGGACCCTGGCCAATGCCTGATCTGGTGGACCCTGGCCAATGCCTGATCTGGTGGACCCTGGCTGATATTTGACCCAGTGGACCCTGACCAACGTCAGACGTAGTCTGTTCTCTGGGAATGGAGGGAATCTATTGGCACTGCGATGGGCACAGAGCTCCGCCTCCCCACATGCTGTCAGTAATAATGAAGTGCTAATTATCAGAACATCTGTGAGCCGCCTCCTGCTCTCCGGGATCGGGAGATGTTCCCACATCAGGAATGGAGCTCCTAATGATGGCCGGGAGCCGGAGGATTCCTCAGGACAACCCAAACACAACGCCAGATTCTCTGACCGTCTGCGGGAGCCCCCAGGAGCAGAGAACGTGGACCCCCAGGAGCAGAGAACGTGGACCCCCAGCCCAGGAGCAGAGAATGTGGACCCCCAGCCCAGAGCAGAGCGTGGACCCCCCGGCTCAGGAGCAGAGAACGTGGACCCCCGGCTCAGGGGATCTGAGGTCATCCCACAGTGAGGACAACTCCATCGCAGCAAGAAGAAACAAAAAGGGGAGCTCCACCAGGAACTGACAATAGTGCTTGGTAGATGCTGAAGGGTTCCCACCATCCCTGCATTCGATTCACAGTTCCCAGATCTGTACCCCCGCTGTGCTCATTATGAGGGGTTCCCACCATCCCTGTGCCGAGTTCCCGGGTCTGTACCCCCACTGTGCCCATTATGAGGGGTTCCCACCATCCCTGTGCTGAGTTCCCGGGTCTGTACCCCCACTGTGCCCATTATGAGGGGTTCCCACCATCCCTGTGCTGAGTTCCCGGGTCTGTACACCCGCTGTGCCCATTATGAGGGGTTCCCACCATCCCTGTGCTGAGTGCCTGGGTCTCCTGGGGGATGGTCTCCTGGGTCAGAGATGGGGGATGGTTTCTGGGTCAGAGATGGGGGATGGTTCTGGGTCAGAGATGGGGGATGGTTCTGGGTCAGAGATGGGGGATGGTTCTGGGTCAGAGATGGGGGAGGGTTCTGGGCCAGAGATGGGGGATGAGATGGGGGATGGTTCTGGGTCAGAGATGGGGGATGGTTCTGGGTCAGACATGGGGGATGGTTCTGGGTCAGACATGGGGGATGGTTCTGGGTCAGAGATGGGGGATGGTTCTGGGCCAGAGATGGGGGATGGTTCTGGGTCAGAGATGGGGGATGGTTCTGGGTCAGAGATGAGGGATGGTTCTTGGTCAGAGATGGGGGATGGTTCTGGGTCAGAGATGGGGGATGGTTCTGGGTCAGAGATGGGGGATGGTTCTGGGCCAGAGATAAGGAATGGTTCTGGGTCAGAGATGGGGGATGGTTCTGGGCCAGAGATGGGGGATGGTTCTGGGCCAGAGATGGGGGATGGTTCTGGGTCAGAGATGGGGGATGGTTCTGGGCCAGAGATGGGGGATGGTTCTGGGCCAGAGATGAGGGATGGTTCTGGGCCAGAGATAGGGGATGGTTCTGGGTCAGAGATGGGGGATGGTTCTGGGTCAGAGATGGGGGATGTTTCTGGGCCAGAGATGGGGATGGTTCTGGGTCAGAAATGGGGGATGGTTCTGGGCCAGAGATAGGGGATGGTTCTGGGCCAGAGATGGGGGATGGTTCTGGGTCAGAGATGGGGGAAGGTTTCTGGGCCAGAGATGGGGGATGGTTCTGGGTCAGAGATGGGGGATGGTTCTGGGCCAGAGATGGGGGATGGTTCTGGGCCAGAGATGGGGATGGTTCTGGGCCAGAGATGGGGGATGGTTCTGGGCCAGAGATGGGGGATGGTTCTGGGCCAGAGATGGGGGATGGTTTCTGGGCCAGAGATGGGGATGGTTCTGGGCCAGAAGATGGGGATGGTTCTGGGCCAGAGATAGGGGATGGTTCTGGGCCAGAGATGGGGATGGTTCTGGGCCAGAGATGGGGGATGGTTCTGGGCCAGAGATGGGGGATGGTTCTGGGCCAGAGATGGGGATGGTTCTGGGCCAGAAATGTTCTGGGCCAGGGATGGGGGTTCTGGGCCAGAGATGGGGATGGTTCTGGGCCAGAGATGGGGGATGGTTCTGGGCCAGAGATGGGGATGGTTCTGGACCTGTCAGCGCAGTGGGAGGAGTCATGTAGAGGAGATGTTCTCACCGGTTGCACGGAGTCCTGCAGGCCCATGGATGATCCCCGGACAGCAGCGAGCGCGGCCCGATCACACAGGTCACACTGGGAGCGATCAGCACCTCCCGTACACAACAGCTGTGCCCTGCGTCCCAGGAGAGGCCGAGAGGCGGGTACAGAGACGGGAGGCGGGTACAGAGACGGGCACACAGGAGACACACAGAGGACACGCAGCATGAAGGGCACACAGAGACAATCCACCCTCGCCCAATCCCAACATTCACAGCCAGATCCTGATCCAGCCTCATACCTAGAGGCCGATGGAGGACCGCACCCCCGGCCTCCACACAATCAACTCTGACCTCCGTATGGGGAGAGCCCGGCGCTCAGGGCTATACAAGGGCCAAACCTGAGAGAGCCAGAGGCAGGAGAGGAGGCCAAGAGGACAGAGGATGAAGGACAGGGAGAGGAGAAGAAGCCAAGAGGACAGAGACAGGAGAGGAGGCTGAGAGGATAGAGACAGGAGAGGACAAGAGGACAGAGGATGAAGGACAGGGAGAGAGAAAGAAGCCAAGAGGACAGAGACAGGAGAGGAGGCTGAGAGGACAGAGGATGAGATGGAGGACAGGGAGAGGAAAGGAGGCTGAGAGGACAGAGACAGGAGAGGAGGCTGAGAGGATAGAGACTGGAGGAGGCCAAGAGGACAGAGAGAGGAGGCCAAGAGGACAGAGAGAGGAGAGGAGGCTGAGAGGACAGAGACAGGAGGAGGCCAAGAGGACAGAGACAGGAAAAGGAGGCCGAGAGGACAGAGACAGGAGAGGAGGCCGAGAGGATAGAGACAGGAGAGGAGGCCGAGAGGACAGAGACAGGAGAGGAGGCCGAGTGAGCCATGTTGTGGGGTCGGAGGCAGCAGCAATGAATAGGGAGGAGAGTCCTCTTCTAATGAAGTTGCTGCATGTAGCGGGAGGTCTGTACTGTGGAGGCCAGGCAGTGTAGAGGCCGCTCTGTTCTCTGCCTCCCCCTGTACAGAGGATGAAGAGACAATTACCTGAGATATAAATAATGCAGGAGGAGCGCGGATCCCGCCTGTCAGATACACATCCTGATCTATGAGTTCCAATAACTCCCCGTCACTCCTCCAGGGGAAATCTCCTCCCGGCCTCCTTCCCATCTCCAGCCTCTTTTATTGGCCCCACATAATATCATCTGTTTAACCAATTCATCGCCCAGAATGGCGCCATCGCCGACCGCGTCACAAACCGCGAAATCTGAATTCTGGAGAAATATCTCTGCACTCTCACGGCCTCCAATGTCTCTTTGCAGCCTCTCTCAGCCTCCAATGTCTCTCTGCACTCTCTCGGCCTCCAGTGTCTCTCTCAGCCCCTAATGTCTCTCTGCAGTCTCTCTCAGCCTCTAATGTCTCTCTCTGCAGAGGCAGACTGCAGAGAGAGACATTAGAGGCTGAGAGAGACTGCAGAGAGAGACAATAGAGGCTGAGAGAGACTGCAGAGAGAGACAATAGAGGCTGAGAGAGACTGAGAGAGACAATAGAGGCTGAGAGAGACTGCAGAGAGACATTAGGGGCTGAAAGAGACACTGGAGGCCGAGAGAGACTGCAGAGAGAGACATTAGAGGCCGAGACAGACTGCAGTCTCTCTCGGCCTCCAGTGTCTCTCTGCAGTCTCTCTCGGCCTCTAACGTCTGCAGTCTCTCTCGGGCCTCTAATACCTCTCTGCAGTCTCTCTCGGCCTCCAGTGTCTCTCTGCAGTCTCTCTCAGCCTCTGTCCCTCTGCAGTCTCTCTCTCAGCCTCTAATGTCTCTCTGCAGTCTCTCTCAGCCTCTAATGTCTCTCTGCAGTCTCTCTCTCGGCCTCTAATGTCTCTCTGCAGTCTTTCTCGGCCTCTGTCTCTCCCTGCAGTCTCTCTCTCAGCCGCTAATGTCTCTCTGCAGTCTCTCTCAGCCTCTGTCTCTCTGCAGTCTCTCTCTCGGCCTCTAATGTCTCTCTGCAGTCTCTCTCAGCCTCT